TAGTCGTGTATATTATAATTATTTTGAGTTGCATTATAACAGTGTGTTAATTATCTCAAATTTCTGAAAGATTAACGAAATACAAAGTCAATTGCAAGACTGAGCAGGAAAATATATACTAGAAAAACTGCATAGTTATATTTCTACAGAAATTCTATTGATAGAGGATAGTCGTTGTGTTTTTCAAGCTTTTGATAGCACATTTGAATACAACCGTTGAATGTCAATGAATCGAAAAATAAAAGTTTTGAATTTATGGGATGGAGCAGCGTTTTGTGCATTTTCACTTTGACGTAGGCCATGATGACATTTCATGCCAGATTGACTTTTTTCCTTAAACGTGAGCACCCTTCGTATTTCTTAGACCTCATGGGTAGACTTTATGAGTATAGCGGCCGTCTTATAGGGCATCCTTTGTTATTTTAATTCAGTAACAATGAGTGCTTAAAAGGTTTATTTCTGGTATGTCACAGCAAGACAAATGTATTGCCTTGATGACTGCTACCTATAAGGTCCATATACGCCTTTTTTGAAATATTGTGGGCAAGAGAGAGCGCCTTTTTTTCAGTGGGTGACCTCTCTTGTATATTCACCCCGCAAATGTATTATATTATGTTATTCATTTTTTTAAAACTATTTCATTGAAAATAAAACATGACAGAAAATAATTCTGGTATGCGCGCGCGTCGCCGTTGCCATGCGCGTCGGCAAAATGAAAAAGTTTTTTTTTCAATGAAAGATGATATCTCAAAACCGCCAAACTCACTGGTTTGACTGGAATCATGCTGCTGCACAATTTTAACGTGTTTTTAGATTGGGTTATGGTCGAGAATAAGCTTTATGTGGCCTCTCTGGACTCCCATATATTTGCACTAAGTTTAGTCGGGCACCATTTGCAGTCATCAGCCGACATTTGAAGCAAAAAAATCAGGTAAAAAAAAAAAAAAAAAAAAGCCGCGTCGCCACACCACTTTTTGGGCAAGCTCCATACCAGAAACCGGAGACTTTTTTTGGCCTTAGAAGACAAACGAAGGACGCTCACAGGGGGCACGGAATGATAGAAACGCGTTAAAGGGAATGAAACGAACTCCAGTGATGTGCACTGAATGAGACACAATAGCATGAATCTGGCAAAGGGACAGAGACAATGAGCATACAGGATGGAATAATACTTTATTTATTCAGATTTATTGGTAAAAACACCTGTCTCCCAATAATACAACTATCCAATTAAAAGTAGTATACCAAATTTGATTAAAAACCGTCCAACAGAGTAAAAATACATTAACAACAATAATTCCCTTAATTACAATAATTCCCTGAATAGTATGAAAAATCTGTGCGACAATTACATGTAGTCGTGTATATTATAATTATTTTGAGTTGCATTATAACAGTGTGTTAATTATCTCAAATTTCTGAAAGATTAACGAAATACAAAGTCATTTGCAAGACTGAGCAGGAAAATATATACTAGAAAAACTGCATAGTTATATTTCTACAGAAATTCTATTGATAGAGGATAGTCGTTGTGTTTTCCAAGCTTTTGATAGCACATTTGAATACAACCGTTGAATGTCAATGAATCGAAAAATAAAAGTTTTGAATTTATGGGATGGAGCAGCGTTTTGTGCATTTTCACTTTGACGTAGGCCATGATGACATTTCATGCCAGATTGACTTTTTTCCTTAAACTTGAGCACCCTTCGTATTTCTTAGACCTCATGGGTAGACTTTATGAGTATAGCGGCCGTCTTATAGGGCATCCTTTGTTATTTTAATTCAGTAACAATGAGTGCTTAAAAGGTTTATTTCTGGTATGTCACAGCAAGACAAATGTATTGCCTTGATGACTGCTACCTATAAGGTCCATATACGCCTTTTTTGAAATATTGTGGGCAAGAGAGAGCGCCTTTTTTTCAGTGGGTGACCTCTCTTGTATATTCACCCCGCAAATGTATTATATTATGTTATTCATTTTTTAAAAACTATTTCATTGAAAATAAAACATGACAGAAAATAATTCTGGTATGCGCGCGCGTCGCCGTTGCCATGCGCGTCGGCAAAATGAAAAGGTTTTTTTTTCAATGAAAGATGATATCTCAAAACCGCCAAACTCACTGGTTTGACTGGAATCATGCTGCTGCACAATTTTAACGTGTTTTTAGATTGGGTTATGGTCGAGAATAAGCTTTATGTGGCCTCTCTGGACTCCCATATATTTGCACTAAGTTTAGTCGGGCACCATTTGCAGTCATCAGCCGACATTTGAAGCAAAAAAATCAGGTAAAAAAAAAAAAAAAAAAAAGCCGCGTCGCCACACCACTTTTTGGGCAAGCTCCATACCAGAAACCGGAGACTTTTTTTGGCCTTAGAAGACAAACGAAGGACGCTCACAGGGGGCACGGAATGATAGAAACGCGTTAAAGGAAATGAAACGAACTCCAGTGATGTGCACTGAATGAGACACAATAGCATGAATCTGGCAAAGGGACAGAGACAATGAGCATACAGGATGAAATAATACTTTATTTATTCAGATTTATTGGTAAAAACACCTGTCTCCCAATAATACAACTATCCAATTAAAAGTAGTATACCAAATTTGATTAAAAACCGTCCAACAGAGTAAAAATACATTAACAACAATAATTCCCTTAATTACAATAATTCCCTGAATAGTATGAAAAATCTGTGCGACAATTACATGTAGTCGTGTATATTATAATTATTTTGAGTTGCATTATAACAGTGTGTTAATTATCTCAAATTTCTGAAAGATTAACGAAATACAAAGTCAATTGCAAGACTGAGCAGGAAAATATATTTACTAGAAAAACTGCATAGTTATATTTCTACAGAAATTCTATTGATAGAGGATAGTCGTTGTGTTTTCCAAGCTTTTGATAGCATTTTTGAATACAACCGTTGAATGTCAATGAATCGAAAAATAAAAGTTTTGAATTTATGGGATGGAGCAGCGTTTTGTGCATTTTCACTTTGACGTAGGCCATGATGACATTTCATGCCAGATTGACTTTTTTCCTTAAACTTGAGCACCCTTCGTATTTCTTAGACCTCATGGGTAGACTTTATGAGTATAGCGGCCGTCTTATAGGGCATCCTTTGTTATTTTAATTCAGTAACAATGAGTGCTTAAAAGGTTTATTTCTGGTATGTCACAGCAAGACAAATGTATTGCCTTGATGACTGCTACCTATAAGGTCCATATACGCCTTTTTTGAAATATTGTGGGCAAGAGAGAGCGCCTTTTTTTTCAGTGGGTGACCTCTCTTGTATATTCATAAAAAGCCGCGTCGCCGCACCACTTTTTGGGCAAGCTCCATACCAGAAACTGGAGACTTTTTTTTTGGCCTTCAGTTCCAATTTACTGTTATATATGTTGCAAAGTACAAGAAGTGCAGCGGTAAGCATATATTAAACCGATTAAGATAACACCAGAATATCCTATTCGTTCGCACGAATTGCTATTTCGTTCGCACGAATTGCTAATTCGTGGGAACGACTTGCTATTTCGTTCGCACGATTTCCTAATTCGTGGGAACGAATTACCAATTCGTGGGAACGAATTAGCAATTCGTGGGAACGAAATAGCAATTCGTGCGAACGAAATAGTAATTCGTGCGAACGAGTTAGCAATTCGTGCGAATGCATTAGCAATTCGTGCGAACGAATTAGTAATTAGTGGGAACGAATTAGCAAATTACCAAAAAACATTCTACCCTGTCCCTTCCCGGGCTTCATATTATGTATACTAGAAACAAACGGTGAATGTTTTTTTTTTCTCAATAGGATTCAGAATATATACCGGTACTTAACCGAAACAATATTACAGTGTTTGGAATTAACCGGTCTGAAATGTCCTGGTCTTCCATTTTACCACATTGGCGTAAAAACAAATTGGCGTAAAAATATGACCGAATATTAAAAAGAAAATAGTTAAAAACCTACTGACAATTTGACAAAGTCAGTTAATTGGCACACCATTTACGAGCGTGCATGTAGGGCAAACTTCTGTGGGATATTATTATTGTGTTAGTAAGTGCTGCAATCAGGACTGTGATTGGTCAAAACATCATGGGCGTGGCTTGACGGAGCGGTCTGTTGCCCAATGGGAAAACGAGCTATAATTGTGTGCTTACACGCGTACTGTTTTGTCGTAGTGCAAGTACAGGGTGTATGAGTAAAAAAAAAATGAAAACACAAATTTCACACAGGGATGTAGTGAATGTGAATTGTTTTCGTTTTGCTGAAAGATCACTTACCTTTTTGTGATCCGTGCATGGACAGAAGTTTAAAACGGTGTTTGTGTTTTAAAATTCCGTAAATTGAAAAGCATGGGTGATTTGAATGATTCTTGTACTAAAAGAAAGCTTTTTAATTGGGCTTTCATATCCTAGATTTTGAAAGTGCTACATGCAGACGTGCACGTATTATGCTTAACTGCTGCACTTTGTGACTTTTTAGCAACTTACAGTGCATTTGAACTTAATAAAAACTCTAATTGGCATTTGATTATTTGTTCGTTGAATGATGCTTTGAAGTACTCAAAAGCCACTGCATATTCGACAACTAAATTGACGTTTACATTGAGTATTTTGATGCCAAAAAACCGAGTCTGAAATTATTTCGATTATCTGGCGTCTCCCCCGCGGCTTTAGACTAAACCATCAAAAAATTTACCGTTAGCTATCCACGATATGAATCACTAACTCATTGCAAGACTAAATCTTTTGAATAAGATTATGTTAATTTGCTTTAAAAAAAAAACCCAACAAAGTACAATGGACTAGGAAACAAATTCATAACTCTGTATAATTATCGCAGTGAATTATGCAATTGCCCTTCAATTATTGTATTAGAATGTACAAGTAACTTCCAGATTAACACAGGGAATTCACGGCCAAGCTACGCTGATATAGCCCTTAAACCACAAATAATTTATGCCAGTAATTCTTTATAAAAAAATCAAGCTGGCCCAGCATTTATACGGTACACATCGGTGTTAGGTGCTCAGTTTTCATATGGCCAGATTTGATACTGATCAGTCGCCAAGATGCTCCGAATCCTGTTTTCATGTCTGATGCTTATCTGTCGAGTGGAGAGTAACTGGGAAGCTGAAGACAGTGACCCATCTGATGCAAATCTGGTAACTATTCCGGAGTGAGACTTTGTTTAACTTGTATAATAGGTCTATAACTTGAAGAAAATTACATCTCATATACTTTTGTTTCTCTTCTAAAATCAGGGATTCAGTCTCATCAATATGACATGCAACGACGCTATGGATTTGTGTCAACACAATTATATTGCGTCCGTCCATAGTCGCGAGGTCTTAGCAGGTAAGTAATACCGATGCTCAATATGGTATGCATTATACCTGATAGGGCAACAGGGAATCTGTCCATGGGTTTGATACTGTTAATTATTGTTGGATCGGTAACAGGCTTTGAGACGAAATTAACCGAAGCTATACTGCCGTGATCAAGATGTGACCAACGTTGGCGATGTTACTAACAGTTGTACAAGCGTGCTGTTTCATTGTCATTTACTTTAAGAATAACCACATTTCAGTAACCCTTTTTTTTTTTAAAAACCCTAACAGGCCGGGTTATTTTGACCATCTCTCAGCCGCGGGGTGGGGGGGGGGGGGGGGGGGCGCATTTCGTTCCCCCCCTAAGATCTCGGCCATCGAGTAACGAAACATTTTGAAACTTGGTACATGCATAGAGCAATTCTTCATGAACATACCCAAGAAATTCATGACTATATGTCAAAGTGCATAGGCCCCTGTGCATTGATTCTTTGTTTAACGTTAAGCTCACGCATGTACATACTGCGATTATTATTTGCAGTTTTCGAATACACGAAGGACCCTTACAAATTCCAGGTCAGTGTTCGAGAAGGGAAACAAAGTAAAGACTGGAGCTTTTTTCAGGGTAAGTGTAGATTGGTTCTTATTTAGTTGGCTTTGTTGAAAGACAGGCCTGCGAGGCAGGCTGTATTTGGATGGGTTACAAAAAAAAAAGATCTGTGCAACCTCAACTGTAACGACCTGACTGAGAGTGTCTTTCGCTTTGTAAAATGAGCAACCTCGAATTTTGTCTCAATTTTGTGCCGTCACATCCCCAAGTTACAATGTGTATAGTCTGCTCATTCGCCTGACCTTTCGCCAGTCGATTTTGAATTCCAAAGTCACGCTTGCGTCTTGTCAAAAGGCCCGGACTGGTTGATATAAACGCGACTTCCAATAGTATTAATTATTGACCCCAGATTTAATCCCAGTGGACCTTATTCATGAGGTAGCCATTTTTGTCGTGTTCCCTAAATGTATTTCATAAATTGTTAACTGTTGAATTGGATGGCGCCAGACCATTTATGCAGGCATATTTTACTTTCATTTAAAAAAAAATCTGTCTCAAAACATTAGGGAATGTTAAAATAACAAATTTTTAATTTTTCATTTAAGTAGACTTCAATTATTTATGTACTTGCTTTCATTTCACTTCGCAAGTTCCAAAAATGAAGATTTTACCTTTCTTTCAATTCAACATGGCCGACTCGCGAATAAGGCCAATGAGGGCTACACTTCTCATTTTATCTTCATGAGTTTGGAAGGAAACCACTTTTGTAAAGCTTATGGTTTGCTTTTTTGGCAGCAAGGCATTAGTATATGGACTATAAATCAGAAGATGCATGAGAAACCGAACCGCCACCCTGCATCATTGTCGGCCTTATAGAGTCTTCTTCCCTTTCTTTTCTGTCTCTAATTCCCAGACGACTTGGATGGGAAGTATCGATGGTGCGAATCCGTCGACTCTAAAGCAAGCTGGGAATTCGACTACTCACGGAGATACACGGCTTGCTTCGAAAACTCCTTTGATGATATTTCCATACCCGAAGGATGCGCTAAGCCGCTTGCCGTCGTAACTTATGACACTCATCTTTACGATGACAAAGTGCGCGGCCAGCAGATGCTACTCTGTCTGCCCTAGTTTGCATGGTTGTAATCAAATCATCACAGGTCATAGTAAGCAGGAATGTTGACCAAACATTCAGGAGTCGAATTTAGAAATTCAACTTCATGAAACTATTATATCGCAGACTTCCTATATCTTCTAGGATCTCGGGTTTTCCGACCAGCCCACCACATCCTTCCCGGATATACCTTTATGCTGCTGCCATATTTCAGTCATGTTCCCAGGCCCTGTATATTCAATAACGGTACTGAATGCTAATATTTTTTTGTGCAAAAAGAAGCCAGACTATTTTCCTTCCAGCCTCGCTTGGATTACGTTGATTTGAATGGGAAAAATCAAGATGGCCTCAACATGATAATGGTCTATTGGCAATTGTCACAAGCACATATAGGCTGCACCGATAAACCTTGGCTGCCGCGATCGACCAAACGAGCCCCAGTATACCTTTACGAAGATGCTAACCTAGACTTTGCGAATCGTCCCTAAAAGAAAGAGCTCACTTCTTCTATATCCTAAACCCCCGAACAGACTGTCTGCAACGTGTGATTGACTAGATTACGACTCTGCTCTTTGAAACTTTCAACCCCGTATCAGATAGACACGTCACATTTGCGGGATCAAGGGGCCATACTATAGACCTTTATCATGCTGCCACCATTTCAGTCATGTTTCCTGTATCTAATAACAGTACTGACTGATAATGTTTTATGTGCAAAAAGGAACCAGCCTATTTTTCCCTTCCAGCCTCGCTTTGGTTGATTTGAATGGGACAAAATCGAGATGGCCACAGCATGATAATGGTCTATTATTATTATTATTATTATTATTATAATTGCATAAGTGGGCTAGTTTTGGAAATTAAAGTGTACAGACGTTATGAAAACGATTATGCTATACATGTACTTTAAAATAAGTTGTCAAACTTTTGCTGTTGTATTTAGTACAATTTCCATGTAGTTATTTCGGTATTTCACATCATTGTGGATGGATGAAAGATAATCAGCACGTTGGATGGGTTCAGAGATGTTCATTCCAGCATAATGACGTATGCACCGATACACAAGTCTATTCCATCTATTAAATTCCATCTTATTAACAAGTCTATTCATTTAATTTCAGTAGGCCTACATTTATTTTTAAAATCGTTCTATATAAAGTTCTGTATACAACTTACACTGTATACACCAGCACGCACCGGTATTTTACATGAGAGTAGCTTAGATATATATTGTTACTTATAGCATATATAAGATTTGAGGCTTTGCATGGTGGAGTATCTGTATCGTTTCGGTTTGCGGTAACACCATGTGGTAATAACTACTGCTTAGAAGATATTTAGTTCTGAAAAGAACTTGTCCTGCTTATTATCAACTTCGCTAAGTAGTTTTTTGTTCTGATAAGAACAGTCCTGCTGTAAGTTCTAAACGAATTTGTCTTTGGTCTCAACGTTTCGACTAGCCTGCTCTAGTCATCGTCAGGTCTATTCCATCTATTAAATCTGACGATGGCTAGAGCAGGCTAGTCGAAACGTTGAGACCAAAGACAAGTTCGTTTAGAACTTACAGCAGGACTGTTCTTATCAGAACAAAAAACTACTTAGCGAAGTTGATAATAAGCAGGACAAGTTCTTTTCAGAACTAAATATCTTCTAAGCAGTAGTTATTACCATATGGTGTTACTGCAAACCGAAACGATACTAATAACATATACTTATTGGATACTATTTTTTCATGCAACGTCCTCAAAATAATTGGTACAAATTCTTGTTTCCTTTAATTATTGAAGCATAGTTACCATGAAGTTCTTTCTTTCACAATCATCGTTATTTATGTTTGTCATCATATTGCATCTATTCTTGTAAAATTTTAAATTGAAATTCATCAGTTAAAATTAATTCATCAAATCTAAATTAATTCATGAATTTAAAATTAACTCGTCAAATTAAAATTAATTCATCAAACGTAATTAATTCATCAATTAAAATTAATAGACCTTTAATTAATACATAAAATTATAATTCGTTGGAGGTCAAACTCGATAAGTACAGTCGAAACCTGATAATAAGTCAGTTTTTCTTTGTTTTCCAATACAAGATACCTGTTATAACAAGGTAATTTGTAAGTCCCAAGGAGCGTTACAAAGGTGTTCGACTGTAACTATTAATATTGGTGTTCTCTAATTCTCGCCCGTCAGCACCATTTTGTCGTTCTTAAAGTATCAGTCACAGACAATGTACTGCTATATCATATCCCCCAATTTTTTGTTATCCATTCATATTTTTGCGTGAGGAACGTTTTCAAATTACCGTTGAACGCCTATTCAGACGGCATTGCAAAAGATTCAGTTGTACGGTTTATACCCATGGGGTCTACCAAACTATCCGAAATAGGGGGATGATTCCATAGCCCATCCCCGCGGTCAACAAGTGTGGGGGTATACACCCCCACCCCACCCCGGGAATTACGTATAAATGCGGTGACAGCTTGATTTTTTATAAATAAATACTGGCATAAAGTATTTGTCGTTTTATAGTTGTATCAGCGTAGCTAGTCCGTTCCCTGTGTCAAACTGGAGGTCACTGTACATTCTAATGCAATAATTAAAGAGAAATTGCAAACGATAATTGTGCAGAGTAGTGAATTTGTTTCAATAGGCCTACAGGTACTTTTTGTGATATTTAATACAAATTAGAGAAATCTTATTCAATAAAGGATTTAGTATTGCAATGAATAAGTGGTTCATAATTGTGGATAGCTAACCACACGTCAATTTTCTGATGATTAAGTCTAAGTCCGGGGGAGGCGCCATATAATCGAAATAATTTATGAGTCGGGATTGTTTTCGCATAAATATGCTAATGTAAACGTCTTTTATTATATTTGCTGAATAGGCAATAGCTTTCGAGTACTTTAGATGCATAATTCAAGGTAATACATCTTCAAATTCAAGGTACTTTGTTCTTAAGTTCCAATGTACTGTTTTATATGTTGCAAAGTACAAGAAGTGCAGCATTAAGCATAAATTATATTAAACCGATTAACATAACACCAGAATATCCTACATATTAGTTTGCCATGCAATTAAGTACTGTTATATGTACGAAGCCTTCGCTCGAAACCCCCCCCCCCCGCCCTGCAAACACGACTTAGGGAAGGGCTGATCTCTCCAAGCTCTCATTGGATAGATTTTGCATGTTTAACATACATAGCTTGCGCTATATCTGCATACGAAGATCATGATAATGTAACGGGACCTTATTGGGTTCTTGTCCTCGAGTCCGGCCAAACGCAAGAAAAGGGGACAAACACACAGGATGTCCAACTTCTGAAGAAACTCTCATTTATTCAGCACAACAACTCTGTGGTCAACCTGCCACACTGCTACCAGTACCACGACTGCTGATTCCCAGCATAGAAATACACACAGTCTGAACAAATGTATACAATTGTAACAACTTGCAATGACCCCGGCATTTTGCCAAACCTTTCCCGCGTCCCCCAACAAAAGAAACCCACTTAAGCAACCTATTTCCGGAGCCTGTTTCCGGAGCGCGAGCCAGCCAGACCCAAAACCAGGTCAGGCTTGCGCCGCCGGAGCCCCTCCGCCGGAGCACCAGCGCTAGAAAGCAATGACAACAAAAATGTGCATAGACTGTCCGTTACACTAAGTTTCCCAAAATGTCATCCGTACTTCCTTCACAAGATTCTGTGAAGCGGCCCTTCCCAGTGCCCTGATTGCAGAGCGGAGAACGAGCGAAGTATGACGTCCTAAAATGCATGACGCTTGCGGATTAACCATATTAGGCCCATTAGAGATGTCAGGAAACAAAAGTTGCCGATTACATTTCACCAGCCCAATACGATCTCCGTTTGAGATGCACATTGTCCATCATTTTTCCAGTGGAATAACCTATACTAGAAACAAACGGTGAATGCGTTTTTTTTCTCAATAGGATTCAGAATATGTACCGGTACTTACCCGAAATTATATTACAGTGTTTGAAATTAACCGGTCTGAAATGTCCTGGTCTTCCATTTTACCACACTGGCGTAAAAACAAATTGGCGTAAAAATATGACCGAATATTAAAAAAAAAAAAAATGTTTTAAAAACCTGCTAACAAAGTGGCACACCATTTACGAGCGTGATTCTATGGCAAACTTCTGTAGGATATGATTATTGCATTAGTAAGTGCTGCAATCAGGACTGTAGTTGGTCAAAACATCATGGGCGTGGCTTGACGGAGCGGTCTGTTGCCCAATGGGAAAACGAGCTATTGTGTGCTTACACGCGTACTGTTTTGTCGTAGTGCAAGTACAGAGTGAGTAAAAAAAAATGGAAACACAAATTGCAGGACTATTTATTTAATGAAGTTCTGCATGTAGCACTTTTAAAATCTAGGATATGAAAGCCCACTTAATAAGCTTTCGTTTAGTACAAGAATCATTCACATCACTTGAGTACTTTTCAAGTTACGGAATTTTGAACACAGACACCGTTTTAAAGTTCTGTCCACGGATCACAAAAAAAGGTAAATGTTCTTTTAGCAAAACGAAAACAATTCACACAGGGATGTAGTGAATGTGAATTGTTTTCGTTTTGCTGAAAGATCACTTCCCTTTTTGTGATCCGTGCATGGACAGAAGTTTAAAACGGTGTTTGTGTTTTAAAATTCCGTAAATTGAAAAGTATGAGTGATTTGAATGATTCTTGTACTAAAAGAAAGCTTATTAATTGGCTTTCATAACATAGATATTGAAAGTGCTACATGCAGAACTTCATTGAAAATATGGTCCTAATTTGTGGCGTAGCCACCGGGGGGGGGGGGGGGCGGGGGGGGGGGGGGGGTGGGGGGGGGGGGGCGTGGGGGGGGGGCGACCGCCCCCCCCCCATGAAACCTTGTCGCCCCCCCCAGTCGCCCCCCCCCCCCCCCCCCACTGAGATTTTGAGTTTCTAAAAAAAATATCATTGATCTAAATCTAAAAAGTCGCGAATGATCCACATGATGACCACTGAGAAACGACCCTTCGATCGGCGACCGCGGACCAGTAAGCTGACAACCGGCGTGACATAGCACATAATGATAATCTAAAATGCGTATTAACACCCACTGCACTGCTCGCTCACACCGCGGAACACGTATTATAGACAGGTGGTCCGTGGGTCACACAGTTTCAGTCAGCGATATCACGCGAATCGGCCACGCACAAACTTTTTCCTCCATTCATATAAGCTAAATAATAATAATAGACCAATTAAACTTCCTTGAAATCAGTGGCGTAGCCGGGGGGGGGGGGGCGTTGGGGGCGACAGCTCCCCCCCCCCCCCCATGAAACCTTGTCGCCCCCCCCCCCTCTGAGATTTTGAGTTTCTGAAAAAATTATCATTGATCTACATGACGCCATGGGCGTCAATCCGGGGGGGGGGGGGGGACAGGGGGACTGGTCCCCCCCCCCCCACTTTTTGAAGGGTGGGGGACACAATATCAAATGTCCCCCCCCCCAAGATTTCTGAGCTTGTGTCTCATTTACAGGGCCCTATTATGTACTACAATGTATCTTTTGCTTAGAAAATATTGGTTAAAGTGGTCAGAAATTGCGTCAGATAGCACCACATAGCATTTTGAATACACAATTTTTCGGGGCCCTTATGCAGGCATATTTTACTTTCATTTAAAAAAAATCTGTCTTAAAACATTAGGGAATGTTAAAATAACACATTTTTAATTTTTCATTTAAGTAGACTTCAATTATTTATGTACTTGCTTTCATTTCACTTCGCAAGTTCCAAAAATGAAGATTTTACCTTACTTTCAATTCAACATGGCCGACTCGCGAATAAGGCCAATGAGGGCTACACTTCTCATTTTATCTTCATGAGTTTGGAAGGAAACCACTATTGTAAACCTTATGGTTTGCTTTTTTGGCAGCAAGGCATTAGTATATGGACTATAAATCGGAAGATGCATGAGAAACCGAACCGCCACCCTGCATCATTGTCGGCCTTAAAGAGTCTTCTTCCCTTTCTTTTTTCTCTCTCTAATTCCCAAACGACTTGGATGGGAAGTATCGATGGTGCGAATCCGCCGACACTGAAGCAAGCTGGGAATTCGACTACTCACGGAGATACACGGCTTGCTTCGAAAACTCCTTTGATGATATTTCCATACCCGAAGGATGCGCTAAGCCGCTTGCCGTCGTAACTTATGACACTCATCTTTACGATGACAAAGTGCGCGGCCAGCAGATGCTGCTCTGTCTGCCCTAGTTTGCATGGTTGTAATCAA